GGGTCTCTACGAGTTTGAGGCCAGCCTATTCTACAGAGTGAGTCTCAGGACAGCCAGGACTACACAGAGAAATGTTGTCAAAAACCAAACCAAACAAAAAACAAAACCAAAAACAAAAAGCCAGCAAAAGAGCAAAGTGACCGAAAGCCTGAATCCATTTTGTGCTGGCCAACTACTCCTGCGCACGCAGACTGCCCGGGGATATGGCTGATATACCCAGTGTCATTTGAAGAAAATTGATGTATTCCTCTCCCATTTATTCCTCTTGTGTTTGGAAAATGCTGCTTCCTTTAGTAGTCCACCACCTCTGGCTCTTAGAATCTTTCCACCCCATCTTCTGCATAGATCCTTAAGCACTATAGCCCCTCAATTTCTTATCGCTCCCCCAAAAGATGGTAAAAATTTCAGAAAATAAGAATGGATTTATTTGCATCATATCAGCTTTGGGAAAATCCTATAAGCCTTTATTTACTTGGCATAGTACCTGTCAAAATAAATTGAAATTCCTACTTTAAAATATACTGAAATGCATTTGTTCTTGTGTATATGTTATATATCATATATTATATATTATGTTATATATATATATATGCCACTGAACCCAGGTCCTTGACTATGCTAAGCAGTGCTTTCCCACTAAGCTGCATTCATTCATGTTCTATTTTAAGATCAGTAGGCAGACGAGAATAAAAGCAGGTTAACTATTAACCAATTCTGAACTGACTCCTTCATTAATGAATTCCTTAAGGCACTCACAGTTGGACATGCTCTTTTTCTAAGAGGGTGAACTTCTGTGAAAGGATTCTTTGATCCACGAGTGTGATTCCAATGTTATAACAATTATCAGTTATGCCCAAAGCACACTGGTACTTAAGGAAGCTTATGGAACATATTAGCTAATATGTCCCATATTATTCATTTGGTAGCAATCTTGGCTTCTCCATATCCAGATTATGTATCTTGGAAATTAATGAAGCTGAATGTACTTAGGAGGTGGTGTAGCCCAGTGAGCTCTTCACATTCTGATAGTCTTGAGAACAAATGAGCAGATTTCTTAGACAAAGAGCACTGTGACCACACTGGAAGGCCTGTTGTCATAAACAAGAAAACACAGTCCCGAGCGGTGTACACACAGGTACTGTAGCACAGGTTCAGGTGGAGTGCACCATCTGACCGTGCCGAGTGCCTGCGGAGTCCAGGCAAGGCTGGTCTCCCGAAAACCGAGGATAGGGAAAGGAAGCATTTGGTCAATGGCGTAATGACGGTGATGTACGGGGCACAAGGACAGCAAGGAAGGGAAAGTTAATAGCAACAAAAAAGAGGGAAAATAAATATATTTTAATAAAACATCTGAGAGTCATCCTTTGGGTATTAGTTCTTATTTATTTATTAAATAGGTCCTTGCTGTAAAACCTAGGCTTGTCTCAAATTCCACGGCAATCCTCCTGCCTCAGCCTTCAGAGTACTGGGATTATAGATGTGAACCTGGTTTAAGATTATTTTTTTGCCATCTTTAAAAAAATTAGCATATGGTTTTTCTTTTTTCTTTTTTTGGTTTTTCGAGACAGGGTTTCTCTGTAGCTTTGGAGCCTGTCCTGGAACTCCCTTTGTAGACCAGGCTGGTCTCGAACTCACAGAGATCCGCCTGCCTCTGCCTCCCAAGTGCTGGGATTAAAGGCATGCGCCACCACAGCCCGGCCCCATCTTCCTCCTGCCCAACCTCCTGCCCCTCCTGTAGTATCCTCTACTCTCTCCCCCAGAAAGTCCTCTTGTCTTCACGTCCCATATAATCTACTACAGTTTTTCCTTCCCCTCTTAGATGTTCTCACTCTCATGTTCACCTTTCTAGTTTCATGTCTCCGCCCTCCATATACATGCACACATACAAAAATTAAAGCCTAAGATTTGTATATGACAGAAAAATGTGGAACTTGTCTTTTTTGACTTGAGTCTGATCTCCTATGAGCTTGGGATGCATGCAACTTGGCAGAAGAACACTTGCCTAGCACACAAGACTCTAGGCTCCACCCCCAGTGTGCATAGGTACACTCGGGCAGTACACACACGTACACATACATACACACACAGTTTTGATCAACAGCAAACAGAATTTCAGATGAAATAAACTTTCTTTTTAAACAGCTCATTGATTTCACCCCTGGACACATCAAATAGTGTATGTCCTTTTTAAAAAATTAAAAACGTACGTACTGCAAATCCCCGCTTCTTTGGTTGGCGTTGTTGTATTGTTTTGTTTTTCAAGACAGGGTTTCTGTGTATAGCCCTGGCTGGAACTTGCTCTGTAGACCAGGTTGGCCTCAAACTCACAGAGATCCGCCTGCCTTTGCCTCCTGAGTGCTAGGGTTAGAGGCGTGCACCACCACTGCCCGGCCCTCCTCTCTTTTTTTATAACTGAGATAACCCAAACTACTTTACATTTTCCCGGAAGCCTTTGAAATATGCCTTCCACAAAGGACAAGCTGTCTAGCTGGCTTCGGTTTCCCTGCTAACAGCAGCTAGTATTATTCAAAGCAGGTAGACGAGGGAGAGGTTCTGGCAAGCAAACGGCCTGATCAGACATCAAGATGTGCTTTCAGAGGAGTGGCGTGTGTTGTGTGTGTCAATAACAAGCCATAATTACTTCCCATTCACAGGGCGGGCATTGGAGTGCAGCCTGCTGACTCACCCAGCTGCTCACAGTTTATTTCTGCTGGGTTTCCCTGCTGCCTGCTCCACAGACGTCAGGACCAGAATGAAACTCTCTCTCCGTTTCCCTTAACTACAGTGCACACACCAGGCATGGACAGTGAACAACCAGACCCCAGGCAGGGAAGGGGAAAAGATTGCTGTAGAGAGATGCCACAATCTTTCAGGCCTCCAAATGATAGTCATTTGCCCTACGGTGTGAGTCACCGGCACCCCAGTTTCAGTATCTCCTCTCTCTCTCTCTCTCTCTCTCTCTCTCTCTCTCTCTCTCTCTCTCTCTCTCTCTCTCTCTCATTCCTATTGCAAAATATCCCATCCTAAGGGTAACAGACCACGTTGCTATTATCGAAATGGTTCTCGACCTGCTATCCAGTGGAATCATCTGGAAGTTTTGTTTAATACCAAGAATGCCTAGTTCTTGCCCCCTCTCCACCAACAATCTGACTTAAATGGTTTAGGATGGGAAGTAAGATACCGGGACTCTCCAAATCTCCTCAGGTGATTCCATGATGAAGCCAAGTTTGGCGATCAGAGCCCGCGCAAAGGAAGCTTACCTAAAGACCACCCTGTTTCAGAGATCAGTGACACATGACACTTTCCTAACCGATGTGTTAGCATGGGAGACAAAAGTGACAGCAAAGCCAGGCATTACCTGCCTGGAGAGCCCTTCCCCACCACTGCCCCCACTTTGCCGGGTGTCCTAGAGAAGCACCCCACATTACCTTTCTGATCCCCCTTTGATCTCTGATCTGTTTCATCCTAGCGTCCGATTCCGCCAAGTCGCACCCGTGCGGTCCTCTCAGATTAGAAGCAGGTCCTGCTCAGATCTCACTCAAGACTGGACTTCTCTTGCACGCACCTAAGCTAGGGCAGTGCCTCCGCGTTGCACCATGGCCCCGGGGCAGATACTTATGCTAATCAAGAAAGTTCCTGCGACTCCTCCACTCCTTGCTTACAGGCACACGCGGGTGTGGGCATTTACTTAATTAACCCTTGATTTTTTGCCTTGACCCCTCTGTAGTGCTTTTGGCAGTCATTTTATTGCCCTGTGGGTCCGATCACTTTATTTACTTTATTTTTTTTTTCCCGAGGAAAGGATTGGACCTGGGCAAGTAGTGAACACCCGCTGAGGGGTAGGAGGTGGAAGGAGGAACAGCAGGGCCGTCTGGTGCTGAGGTGAAGGGACAGTTAATGTTAGGAATATTAATCACTCTGCGCGCCACTGACCCAACGTGGGCTAGCAGAAGGGGGACTGGAGGTTAAGACAAAGGCTCCTGGTCCAATGGCTGCAGCTCCATTCCTCCAAGGCTGCAGCTGCTCCTTTGACACTGGCTTGGCAAAGTGACTTAAGTGGTGACCAGACCCTTTTGCTCTTTCTGGTCGGAAGACCGCGTTGCCTAAGGCTCAGGTTCAAAGGCGCGCGCGCGGGGTGGGGTGGGGGGGTATTTTTTTGAACCCACCCAGCTTTCTGGGCCTTTGTGGCATCACTTTGGCTTCGGCGGAGCACTTGGAAGGGTAGACTGAAGAATGCCCCTCCAAACCAGAGTGCTGGTCTTTGAGTAGCACCCCCCTCGGCCCTCCCGGTGCTCCCCGGAGAACCTCTCAGGCGCAAACTAGCGACCCGCTCTGACCACACACCCATCTGATTCCCAAGTCCCGGATCCACGAGTGATCGTTCCCAGCCGTGCAACCCTTGTCCCCGGACAGGACGCACCAGGGAAGCAGCAGAGCTAGGGGATCCCGGAATGCACTTCAGACTGGGTGCGCGCGGTACACTTCTTGGTCTGCCCCAAAGTGCGCAGCTTTTAGGAGCTCCGAGGGCTCTCAGCCCCCGCGTCCCAGTGCTTCAGCAGGAGGGGCTGAGCTCCGAGGGCGCGTACCTACAAATCCCCCTCTCCTAGGTGGCCCCAGCCGTCACTCTTCGGCCAGTGTACTTTGTGTCTGCCAGCGTGGCAGCTCTGACTCCCTTCCCTTTCTTGGGGTATACCGCTTTAGCTCCCGACACAAAAAAAAGAGGGGCGACCCGTAAGAACGCGGCTGCGTGCACAACCCTGGCAGGATAACTTCTTGATGGGCTCGGAGACCCCGCGATCCGCTTGCTCCTCGATCTGCAGATCGCAGACCCAGGCGTGGGTGGGGGAGGCGCGGCCAATCCCGGGCCTGGGAGGGACTGACCCAGGGCAAAGGGTGTCGGGGTGCGCCAGGGCTGTACAGCTTTGAACAGACTTGACTCACCTGCTCCGGCGTTGTCGCCTCCTTCCTCTGCTGACAGCTGGGGGCTTTGTTTCTCCACCCCCTCAGCCTGCCACGCTCCGCCTCCACAGACTCACGTGACTCGCCGTCTGCCGCCGTCTGAGTCCACTTGAGAGAGCCCCCCGGGCGCCGCCTCTTCTCCGGGTGAGGTGGAGACCCCAGCAGTGGAGGGGACCCTCGGGTTCAAGGCGATTCGCAAAGGAACTCTGGGTCAGACAGGCTGCACTGGTGACAGAGGGAAAGTGTGGGGGTTGGGGAAGAAATGGAGAGAGCCGTTGGCTGCAACCAGATGGCAGCAGAAGGGCGAAGCTTGCCGAGGATCCAAAGGCGATGTCCCACCCTGAATGAAGTACCTGCACCTGGGCTCTGCATAGCACCCCGAGACTATTTGCACTCACTCCTAGGGACTTCTGGATAAGGAGGGACAACCTAGTTTTATTTTTTTTTTTAAAAAAAGCACCATTAATTAAAAGAAGCAACTCCAAGTCGGATAGCGCGATCAATGATTTAGTAACTGTGCACTGTATGGAGGTTCCAAACCTACCTTTTGATTCTGTTGATGTTTAGTTCAAGTTGGAAAATAGGTTCCGGACTGGGGAAGTTCCCTCCGGAAGATGATTGGTGTGGGCACTTGTCCATATGGAACAGCAGCCGTTTTTTTAATGAAACGAACTATAAAAAAATGTTAGGGCCTCAAGACCAGGCTCGGTATCCGCTGTTCTTGGAAGTGGTCCCACCCTTGCTGTTTACAATACTCTCCAGTGTCTGCATTGGAAACACATTGCTGTGGGACTCCTTCCTTTAGTCCCTGGGGAACAGGGTCAGCCTCATCTTGATGCCCCCACTTCTCCCTGCTAACTAAGGAGAAGAATGCATCTCCGCCAGCTGTCACTAAAAATCCTTAGAGGGGTTGACCTCAGCCCAGCACCCACCCCGTTTCTCGTTCAGAAGGATCCGCTGGGGATTTTCTTAGACCAAATTCAAATGTGAGTGGATCCAGCCTTGAGCTGAGAGTCTCTGTGTCTGGTAAACTCCTAAGCGATGTAAGTGCTAGTTTGAGGAACACACGTTAAGGACAAGGCTTAGAGCGTACTCTTTGACACTAGCTGGCCCTTGCTGCGTTTTGGCTGCCCGACTCTCAGGCTGTAAGATGGGACTGGTATTTATTATTCTTCGTGTTGCTATGAGAAAAGTCCAGCAAACGCACCTCTGCGGAGGGGAGGTCTCTCTTCCATCACGGCGGGGAAGAAGTGGCTGCGGGAGTATGAGGCAGCTTGCTTTCTCCTTTTTATTCATCCTGAAACCACAACCTATGGGTTGGTGCTCCCTACGTTTAGGATGGGTCTTCCTACCCGGGTTAATCCATTCTCACAAACGTGCTCTGAGATTTGTCTCCTAGGTGATTTTAGATCCCGTCAATTTGATGATATTCACCAGCACAACGTAAACACCCAGCTCATTTCAGGTCCGTCGGGATAAACCAGGACCCGCATAGTGCCCAACACACCAACGTTTAGGAAGTGTGAGCTAACTAGCTGCTGGGTCATTGCAGATGTGAAGTCCAAGCATGCTCGAAGAAGCAGTCTGGTGCAGGATCACATAGGAATAAGGCAGTCACCCCACAGACGGTGGCCATTCCCATAGTACACCAGGCATGCAGGTGTGCAGATGTGTGTGCCATAAGTGAGAATTGGTCACGGTGCAGAGCAAATCATTTGTTTAAAAAGTTCATTTTCTATTTTAAATCGTGATGAATTGGTTCTCAGACACTGAATTAAAAATTCATTTTGCTTTTTATTACAGATAATGCCCAGCTGCCTGCTGGATGGGTAATCTATTTTAATATTGGAGTGAGTAAATGGGTTGTTCGGGAGCTGTACATTTCCCCTCCTCATTAAAAAACTTGAAATCTAAATGTAAATGGCTTTATTAATGAAGATCTGGTATTCTTAGCTCTCAGGATGAATGGCGATGTCACTAGACTTCCCGTTCCTTGCTTGCCCTCCTTTCTTTCTGCCCCCAATATAGGTGTTTCTAAGATTAATTCTTCCCCTCTCTACCAATTGCCTCACAATTTAATTCATGTTTTAGTTCAGTTGTTAAGTGTGTAGAGATCACTTCTGAATCCATAGCTACATCCTTAACGTCTTCCCAAGTCCCTGTCTACAGAGTGAGTTCCAGGACAGCCAGGACTACACAGAAAAATCCTGTGTCAGAAAAAAAATTGGGGGAGGGATGTTAGTTGTGGCTTTAGCACTCAAGTCTTTAGGTTCTGTTGTTCTGTGATGATGAATAAACTCTGGCCGTGGTCCTGAGGTTTGAACCTAGGACTTCTTAGGTGTTGGGCGAGCATTCTGCTACTGTACTACCTCTCAGACCATGCCAGCAATAACTTTGATTTAAACTTATGCTGATATTTCTATGCTGTTTGCTGGGGGTAAGGGTGGGGTGGGGTTTTTGAGACAGGATCTCTCTGCACAGCCCAGCTGTCCCAGAGCTCACTAGGTAGACCAGGCTGGCCTCGAATTCACAGATCACAAATATTTACTATGCATTTTCACTGAATTTCCCAGTAGCCTTTGCTGTGGTCTAAATTAAACTCCTTCCTCTCATAAAACTGACAGCATCTCTGTGTTTGATCACGATGATGTCCTGCATTGGGCAGTCCTTCGCTAGCGGTCTAGGGATCCAGTGAGGGTGGGAAGCACACAGTATGGTTTGTCTCAGCCATCGTCCTGCTGCTCTTCCTTGGTATTTCCTCTAGACTTTGTCTTCAACAGTGACTGTCATCAGCTCGCATGTGAATGTGACTTACTGGTGTAAGAGCCACGTGAGCAGCTGTGAGCTGTCGCCCAGAGGACGATCAGTGGGAACACGACTGGGGAGAGACTGTGTCCCTCACGACAGGGCAGACTATGCCGCTGCAACAAATGCTACCAAACTCCCAGTGATTGACACACGGACAGACTCCAGGGAAGCTGGCCTCGGTGATTGTCTTTCTAGCCTGCTTTATCCTTGCACAGCTCCCCGAGCGCACAGCAGGAAAGGGAGCAGAAGAATTGGACACAAACCCCAGTGCCTTCACTCACCAGTGACCCAAGGCTTTTTTCAGTTTCACTATTTAAAAGGAGTTATGTTAAGTTCAGACTTTAAGGAGTTATGCGCTCAACAGGAAGAGGAAAGTAGAGAGTTTGTGACTGTGGATGATAACATCACCCACAGGGATCCATTTAGAGGAAGTCGGGGATAAAATTAAACTAAAAAGAGCTTAGCTACAGCAGGAGGTTAGCAGAAATGACCAGTTGGGTGACTGCAGTACTGTGTGGCATTTTTGGGGGAGTGGGGCACTAATGTCATGCTGTTGTCATACAGTATTATCAAGAGGAACACTTGTCAGTGCACTCCAGGTCAGTCTACTCCAGGCATTGACTATCCAGACGCATCTACCATGTACTGTCCTGGTTGTTCCCCAGGTAGTGTACCCACCTTAAATGCCTTAAATGTGTAAGGCTACAACAACACAAGACAACTTTCTAATTTTGATTGCAATTATGGTATTTTTTAAAATCTTGGATGAATCTGTGTATATAAAGAATGAAATCTTAAAACAAAAAAAATGGAGGAAGGTCATCAGGATAAAATTATCCCAGGTCATCACATGATTGTTTAAACTATACCGTTGACCAAGAATTCTCTGGTCATGTTCATGGGAACATTGTATTACAGCATTTCAAGTTAAAAAGAAGTTCACAAATGAGGAAAATAAATTGCTTTTCAGAAAACCTTGGGGGTTTTGCTAAATGCCTAAAATTGTATTAGCTAAATCTACCACGTATATCTTCCCATACTTCATATATTTATGAGATAAACACTAACGCCTGTTGTAAAATCTAGAGTGCAATGCAGGTATAAGATATTATATGCTGCAGGGTACTGAGTCATGGTTCTGGTTTCAATCTTGTGTAGTCTCTGAATACATGGGTCAATGACTTCACTGTATAGAACTATTTCCCAGTATATGCCTTTGTAAAATACGACCATTCCCTAATATTCTGACAGCTTCTACTACACATTTCTACAAATATCCATCACACAGGGCTCTAAAGGAGACACAGAGTCTATTAAGTTGTGAACTTTTTGCTCAGTCCCTTCTCTGTCTGACTGATTCCCACCCTCCTCGAGTCTTTGCTGAGTTGTAATATTGTCTTAGATATGATTTGTAACCTCAGGAGATATGCTGTAGAGAGTCACTTATAAATACATGGCTGATAAGAACAAGACTGAGAAGAAGGTGCTCAGTACCAGGAGCTGACGGTCTTTGTCAGGATGGAGAGTCAAAGTGCCGTCAGATGACAGTGTGTTGGGATCACTGCCTGCTGTTGTCTGCAGCTTCCAGTCCACCGGCTGCAAAGCATGTCTGGATTCCTAGGAGCAAATGTTTGTGATTTGGCTAAAAAGTGTCAGGAAGTCCAGTGTAAGTGTCTCCCTAGCTTCTATATTTGATCACAACCAACTCTGATGCCCACATAAAAAAACAGAATGGAAGAGGAAATGTGCTCATTATATAATGTGTTTATGAAACATAGGCTTTGTTTAAAGTGTAAGGAAGGACCCAAAGTCATTCTGTATCAGAAGTGTTTATCATTTTATGACACGCTGGAAATAAAGTCACATACAAAGAAGTAAGGTGGGTGCATAATTTTTAATGCTTCTGTTTGATTTTTTTTTCTCCTTCCCTGCCCCCATTGTATTTCCCCAGTTTTGGGATAGCTTGTCCATGCCAGGCAAGGATTCTACTACTAAACCACAGATGTCTGCCCTGACTCCTATACTAAAACTATCAGTTGTTGTGAGGTTAGTCCACTAGAGAAGCCGAATAGAAAGTCTGTCTTGCCAGTGGTTGCATGGGGAACTTGCACAAATCGTGAAGCCCAAGCCTCACCATTCTTTGTCTTTTATGTACAAAACCCACATCCTGGTTGACATACTTCAGTTTGCAAGAACAGTTAGGAAGAGGTGAAACCACAGAAGCCAAAAAGCAAGGTTTTAATGCACGTAGAAACTTTTCTGGGTCTACAGACCTGGTCTTTGATGGAATAAATCTTTATTTTAGTTAATGTTCTACTGCTGTGAAGAGACACCATGACCATGACAACTCTTATCAAAGAAAGCATTTAATTGGGGACTTGCTACTTTCAGAGGTTTAGTCCATTATCATCATGGCAAGAAACATGGAGGCACACAGGCCAACATGGAACTGGAGGAGCAGAAAGTTGTATATCTGGGTCCCCATGCAGCACGAAGAGAGAGACTCTGGGCTTGGCATATGCCAAGTTTTTGAAACTTCAAAGCCCACTACCAGTGACATTTTTCCTCCAATAAAGCCACGCCTCCTAATCCTTTTAATTAGTGCCATTCCTTGGTGGCCAAGCAAGACCTGAGTGGAGTTGGGAGAGGAGAAAACATGATTAAAATGTACGAAAAATTTTTACTAAAACAATCTTTTTCTTTAAAGACACATTATAATAACAGTTAAACATTGGTTGCCATCTGTAATGAGACAATACTATTGAGGACCCCACTTGCCTTCGCTGCCCGTTGCCAACAAGCAATCCTAGCGTCTAACCTAACATTGGAGTGATGTTTGCATGTGATCTCTCTGAAAGTGTGCCCTGTTTTGTGTTTCCATGTGACTACTTGCTATTTCTGTGGGGCTTTCTCTGTTTTCATTCGTTTCAAGATACTCTCTTATTTTGTTCTATATTTTCTCGCTACAATCTTGTTGTTCAGGTCAGCTTTAAAAACTATAAATAAAAAAATTGTGGACATTTTGCTATTTTGTTGTGAAACCAAAGCGTGATGTTTACCTTAACCTTCAGTCTTCTCCACAGAGCTCATGAGAAACTTGTTACTGGTAAGCTGTGACTATACACCCATGCCACTTCCCCCAGTTTCTTGCTCGGTGTGATCTAAAATGTCTGGTCTCTGCCCTTGTCTCCCAGCAGACAATCCCTACAACACTACTTACTTCCTAGTATAGGAGTGAGCAAGTCCACCAATGGCACTTGTTCTGATATTCCTTCTTTGTCATCCAGGGATTAACACAGAGCGCCTATCCCTTGGATGATAGGAGCATCTATTGTTTTAATAAAGTGACTCTTGCTGGGCTCCTGGATGGCATAGATGAACAAAAAGACCAAGCCATGAATATAAATTGGGATTTTCAGTGACACATTCTCATCTCCAGGAACAAACAAAGAGTTAGGGATTTTGTTCATAAAAGATTATGTCTTCATGATGGATCCTCCATAAAAATACCTGGACTATGGTGTTCAGGGTTGACCAGCAGGTGGGTGAGTGCATGGGGATGCAAGAAGGCTGGTGAGCCAGGGAGAGCAGGGGAACTTCCAGTGCTTTGCTCTGTATTTTGTTCTGTGTCCAACCTTTGCCTGGTTATTCATCTGTAGCCTTTGTAGTCTCCTCTGTAGGGAACTAGTAACTGTTAGCAAATTGTTTTTTTTTCTAAACTCTGTGAGTTCTGGTAGAAAATAGTCGAACCCAGGGAGGAGATGGTGGGAACCCAATTTCTAATTTAAAATAGTTGTTCAAAGAATCTGGCGCTGCGGAATACTAGCTTAAGATGCATTACATTCATTTAAGTTGTAGAATATTGTTTAATGATGCAAAGATGTGTCGCATTTGTTTGACTCTGAAGCTGTGTTACTTTGCTTGTCTAAAACACCTGACTGGTCTAATAAAAGAGGTGAATGGCCAATAGCTAGACAGGAGAAATGATAGGCAGGGTTGGCACGCAGAGAGAATAATCAGGAGGAGAAGACCGAGGAGTGAGAAAAGGAGGAGAGGAGGACATTAGGGACTCCTCACCCTGCTACACAGTAAGCCACGGAGCAACAAGAAAAGTATATAGGGTAGGGTAGAGAAAGATAAAAGCCCAGAGGCAAAAGGTAGATGTGATAATTTAAGTTAAGAAAAGCATGGGGAGAAATAAGCCAAGCTAAGGCCGGGCATTCATAAGTAAGAATAAATCACTGTGTATTCATTTGGGAAATGGGTAGTGGCCCCTCAAAGAGCAAAGAGTGAAAAAAAAAAAAAAAACAAAAACGAAACAAAACAAACCCACCTACAATCTGGAGGCCTGGATTTGAGGCTGGGGTCTGAAGTAGAAAGGAGTCTTTTAGGGTACACTCTTACTGGGGAGGCCTGATGCTACTCCCAAGGGTGTCAGAACTGACTTTGATGGTAGGCATGAGTTGATCTTCCTGGGGAATGGCTTGAGGTACAGGAATTCCTCTGGCCCCCGAACTGCTGGGTAGAAGTGTGAGGATGTTGGCCATCTCAGCGAAGAAGAGTTTGTGGTACTCATCCACTGCCTCCTTGCTTGTTAGGTGCCAGTAAGCAGCATGCTCATATGCTGTTTATATACTACATCACCAAGGATTTTAGTTGTTATTGTTCCTAAGTAATTTTTGGTTAGCATGCAAAGACATGGTTTCATTGTGACATTTCCATCCATGTTGTTAGACTTTGTTCTTATTTGTCCTTAGATTTGAGGCTTGGATTTTTAGTCTTCTGAGACTGTGCCCTTAACCTGTGGGACCTGAAGTTTTTTCAAGTAGTGGTAAATCTGACTTAACTTATAGGACATACGGTTGGTGTCTTCTTGACTGACAGAAACCTCCCACCACCAAATTCAGCCTCTAGAAGTGTGAGAAGACTCCTTATCTTCTCCAATAGTCCCGCCCTATCCCATCTACTTCCATAATGCATGCATTTCATTAGCCTCTCTCCGTTTCCCCTAACATCCTTTAGGACAATACTTTACTTTGAAATATTTTTATTTATCATTATTGCCGTGTACATGCCATGTGGGTGTGCCATGGTGCTCCTGTGGAAGTCAGAGACCAGCTTCACGGGGCTGGTTCTCTCATTCCATTTTTATATGGCTTCAGACATTAACTCAGCTTGCCAGGACTATCTGACAAGCACTTTACCAGCTGAGCCATCTCGCCTGCTTCTAAGAGAGTATTTTTTTTTTTTTTTTGGGTTTTTCNCTGTAGACCAGGCTGGTCTCGAACTCACAGAGATCCGCCTGCCTCTGCCTCCCGAGTGCTGGGATTAAAGGCGTGCGCCACCACCGCCCGGCTAAGAGAGTATTTCTATACAAACATACTTTATTGTTTCAGCTAACGAATACACTGAAGACCATAGGAGCAACACTGTGTGTCTCCTGCAACATTAAGGTAGGAAGATGAAGATTAGTTGCCAAATTACAACCCAGAATTCATAAATAACAGTTTTCGTTAGAATACGGCACATAAGTGCTAAAAGAAGGAATATAGCATACATGAGAATATCAGCACTGCCAGCCTTGAAGTAAGTTTCTGGGAGCCCACAACTGTTCCAGCAAAATGCTACTCACATTCCACTTAAAACATCACTTAAATAGTACATTAAACCACACCATGTGATTAAGTCTTGCCTTTACTATTACCATTTAAAAGTGTTTGTCTCCATCTCTTTCTGGATAATTAGAAATAATGCCCCTGGGCCTCCTGAGAAATCCAGCTGCTACACGTGGCTGTGCATTGGCTCTGGGGATTTGGCTCAGCTTACTGAAATAAGAACAAAGGATGGAGAGCAAGCCCTGCCGTGGTGGGATCCTTGCCGGGCAGTCCCTACCAGCCTTGCCACATAGTCCCAAGCAGGTTGTTTTGGAGGCACAGCAACATTGTTACCTCACTGCCATGTGTTTTCTTTCCTTCAAAACATCCAATTGGGCTGGATGGTGGTGGCGCACGCCTTTAATCCCAGCACTTGGGAGGCAGAGGCAGGCGGATCTCTGGGAGTTGGAGGCCAGCCTGGTCTACAAAGTGAGTTCCAGGACAGCCAGTACTGTTACGCAGAGAAATCCTATCTTGAAAAACCAAAACAACACCAAACACACACACACACACACACACACACACACACACACACACGAAAAAAACCATCTATACTGTTCATGACTCATGAGGGCACATATAGTTCTGTCTCCTAATTAGGACCGGAAAAAAGGGACTAAAGAATGAACAAAATAGGCGCACTTCCCTGCAGTCTCATTTAGAACGTTTCTCCTTATTGTCTTTGTGCATTTTTTTTCTTCTTAGAGAGCTTTATGGGCAAACCCCAGCACCGATGTGTTACTTGGAGAGAGAGGCATGCTTATAACAGCAATGCAGAGGGACTAGGCTCAGAGAGCATTTCGACCACAAAGACATTTCCTTTGGGTACAGATCTTTGTGATTTCATGTTATTATTGATGCCAGATCAGATTCACTCTGGGTGACTCCAAGTTGGCCACACGCTGTGTAATCATAACGAGCTCTAGCCTGCACAGGTGGGACCAAGTGCAGCCTGTGGGACCTGATCTCCAGAGACTTTAGATTATAGACACAGTGGCCACTTGGCTTTTTACATCCCAAGAGAGGGCTGTACTTTTTAACAATAGAGAGAAGTCATCAGAAATCCCAGACATAATTACCAGTTAGGCAGACTGTACTTCAACTGTGTGATGGATTATGTGATAACTCGTAAAATCCATGCTAAATATTCATAGTCACAGAAAAACAATCACTGTTCTATATGAAGGACAAAAACAGGACTCAGAAGTTTTGAA